TTAATTTTATGATGGTACATGCACATAATTAATACTTAAGAGAAATAGAGAAATACAGTCGCCAAGTTAATGTCCATTCAAATAATGGACACACTCCCTCCCCCTCTCACACTACACTGCCGGCTCTTCCCTCTCTGAGAAATTTTGGGGGGAAAACCAGGTATAGTAATAAATAATACCTCAAACTAAAGTTAGGATAATATAATTGACATTGCTGGATTCCTTGTAAGACCAGGAATATTTTGAATATAAATGTCATATATTTTTCACAAAAGATAACATACTTACTCAGATTAAACATTTTATCTAAAAATTTGATGTCTAATGCAAAATATATGATGTTTATATTCAAAATGATCACCAAATTGTAAGAATTCCAGCAATGGAAATTATATTCTGGCCGGGTAATTTGTATGAATTTTATGAGCTAAAACAAATATCTTCAGTTAATAAAAAAAAAAAATATTCTTCACGACACTATCTGTCAATCAAAGTACCCCACCTTGCCTCCCCCCCTTCTCTTCCAACCGCGCGGTCAGTCCCAACCCTCCCCCCCACCCCCCACCAATCCTCCCTTCAAGAGATGTGGGGTGAAAAATTTAGATTTTTAACATTTTGTATTAAATAATACCTCAGAATAAAGTTAGGATAATATAATTGACATTGCTGGATTCCTTGTAAGACCAGGAATATTTTGAATATAAACGTCATATATTTTGCACAAAAGATAACATACTCAGATTAAACATTTTATCTAAAAATTTTATGTCTAATGCAAAATATATGATGTTTATATTCAAAATGATCACCAAATTGTAAGAATTCCAGCAATGTAAATTATATTCTGGCCGGGTAATTTGTATGAATTTTATGAGCTAAAATAAAAATCTTCAGTTAATAAAAAAATAAAAATATTCTTCACAGGGTAACAGATGGTCGGTCGCCAGTCCCTCCCTCCCTCCCCCCCACCCCCCACCAACGTCCCTACTAGATAAATGTGTGGGAATACCAGACTGTTTACCTTTTTAGTAATAAATAATAAATCAGACTAAAGTTAGGATAATATAATTGACATTGCTAGATTCCTTGTAAGACCAGGAATATTTTGAATATAAATATCATATATTTTGCACAAAAGATAACGTATTTACTCAAGAGTAAACATTATATCTAAAATTTGTATGTCTAATGCAAAATCTATGATGTTTATATTCAAAATGATCATCAAATTGTAAGAATTCCAGCAATGTAAATTATATTCTGGCCGGATAATTTGTATGAATTTTATGAGCTAAATTAAAAAAATTATACTTCACCGTGTAAAGGGGTACACCCACCGCGGAATGTGAGCATCCTGGGTTCTGGCAGGGCACCGCGTAAACGTGGAAACGCGGAATGTGGGACCGCGTAAAGTGAGGGTTGACTGTATATATATATAATTAACATATATATATATATATATATATATATATATATATATATATATATATATATATATATATATATATATATATATATATATATATATATATATATATATATATACATATATATAGTGACCTCCGCTAATCTAACCTTCCAATCTGTTCCAGAAGGTCGTTTGCTAACCTAAACCATTGTTTCAATGGGTTTTGGGTACTGGTTCTATTCACCGAAAATTTCCTAAATTCAACAAAAATGGTAGAAAATTTCACTTACTTTGAGGTGTGTATGTAGAAGGCTCCTGGATGATGATGATGGGAATTACAATGGGGGTGGAGGAGAAGGAAGAAGAGAAGGCATTGGGGTGGAAGAGAAGTCACCCCATGGCACCATTTCACCCATAAAATTTTAGTTCTCTTGGTGTATTTCAAGATTATTTTCTTTAAATCAACACTGTACTGCATTATATATTGTCAATATGTAAAATATATTTCAAAATGACCAATAATTTGCTTGGAAACAGAAAAAAAGCGTTTAGTTGAAGAGAGTCTCAAGCAAGATGTTACCTCCAGTGAAAACAGAGAGAGACTAACTCCTGTTTGCTGTGTAAAGAAGCTGGATGCCGTGCATTAAACTAGTCACTTTACCTTCAATTATGTTCAATAATTGTTAAAATGACTTAAGAAATTGAATATTAAACTTTTAAAATTATTGAATAGTATAAACTTCTTAATATTTACTAAAATAGTAAGGAATTTAAGCCCTAGAACCGATTAATGTATTGGCGGACTGATACTAAAGCTGGTTGCCCGGTCAGTGCAAGCGAAAACATGTTGAGGTCGGTTCGTAAGAACTTCGTTAACTGAATTTTTTTTCGTTAACCGAATTGAAGATCCTTATGGAAGGCAGTTCGTTAATCGAAATTACGTTAACTGAGGTGTTCGTTAAACGAGGGGTCACTGTGTATGTATATATATATATATATATATATATATATATATATATATATATATATATATATATATATATATATATATATATATATATATATATATATATATATATATATATATATAGAGGAGTCTTAAGTTATTCTCTTATAAATGTCAATGAATGTGACTTTATAGTAATGCATACAAGCACCTCATGAGGCATCACACAAGAAGCTTTGAATTTCTGGACATGTAAAGTATTTCATGGGGCAAAGGGAGGCTCAAGAACGTAACTCCCATATTTTATCTATTTCTTATAGGGAAAATTGGTCCGCTTAACGTTGTTTTGTATATCGTCGCGTTTTTAGGAACGTAACCCCAACGTTAAGCAAGGACTTACTGTAACTATTTTTCTATAACCATTTTAAACTTTCTGATCACACATGCCATTTTTCATAATTGCAAAGGCAACTCAGTAGGGTGTGTTTGTATCCCCCAGGAGGTCAGGGATGTACGGTATGTTTGTGTGCATACCCCAGGAGGTCAGGGCTGTAAGGCATGTGTGTCCTCCAGGAAATCATGGCTGTAGGGCTTGTGTATGTGTACCCCAGGAGGTCAGGGCTGTAAGGCATGTGTAACCCCCATGAAGTCAGGGCTGTAGGGCTTGCGTGTGTGTGTCCCCCGGGAGGTCAGGGCTGTAGGGCATGTGTGTGTCCCCCAGGAGGTCAGGGCTGTAGGGCATGTTTGTGTCCCCCAGGAGGTCAGGGCTGTAGGGTATGTGTGTGTCCCCCAGGAGGTCAGGGCTGTAGGGCAAGTGTGTGTTCCCCAGGAGGGGGACTCTGTGATGTGTACTTTTACTTTTATCCTCTTCACCACTGATCGGCTTGCTTGCTGCTTGGGCGATCGGTTACATCTCTGTTAAAAATAAAATAATAAAATAAGAATGATAGCAATAATAATAATAACAACACTAATACTACTAATAATAATATACACCCATAAAAAATCCAAAAATGAAAAAAAAAGATCAAAAGTGAGAAACAATATACTGTATGTATGTTGTGTTGTCAATAGTAAGAGAAACAATTGAGACCCTGCAATTGTGTGTAAATGAGGCAGAAAGTCAGATCAGCAACCTGGGACTTGGTCACAATTTTTGTGATGCCATATGGCAGCAGGGTCTACCATTAGACATTACATTATGCTTCCAATATCATCCCAAGTGGTAGTACTTCCCTGTTTGGTAGCTACCTACTAAAGTCAAATTATTGATGTAATATGCAGTTAAAAAGTATAACAACATATGATAGTGTAATAATGTTCCTGGTATTTATTGTCAGTAAAGCCTACCAATCTTTTAACAATGATTTCTTATGGTACAGTAAAATTAACAGTGGGCTTTCCGGACCATTGGATGCTGGACTATTGGACCTTTACTGTATATATTAAATTTTTTTCATATTTCTTTGAATCAGCCATTACACATGGAAGGCAGAATTTTACCTGCACCTGAATTGTTGATGGATGCACCAGTTCAACCAAGAGAAGGAGTATGGGATGCTAGGAGGAGATTATTTTACAGAGGAGCAGATATAAACACATGGGTGGTGATGAATTACAATCCAAGATTTGTTGACCAACGAAGTACTGAGTAAGTTTTGAGATTCAAAGTACAGTATTCATCTTCTTTTATCGGTGGGTGTAATCCAAGAAGATTCATTTATAGTGCAACCCTTAAGGGAGATCAGAAACTACAATTTCCACTTAGATTGAGTGTGTTTGGTACTACAGCAGCTTACACACAGAACTACTCTTGCCCAGCATTTGACTAGATACATTTAATGTTTTTCCTTATCTAAAGTATGCACACAACAGGGGGTTTTCTTTACTTTGTTATTTAAGGGGTAAAACAAAACATTCAACCAAGTTTGTGGAAACAAAATGTGACATAGTCTACCAGTAGGTCTGAGGTAACATGGATGAGCTTGTGGGGTACGAGTTGTTTGGGTTCACACTCAGGATGGGATGGAGAAAAGAAACTCACAATGTGCTCTCTGTATACATGTTATATTGGATGTACAATGCAGCTTGGTGCTGGGAAGGCAGCATGGTTACAAGCGTGATGTAGAGAGAGCTGGTTGGTGAGGATGCTCAGAGGAGGACAGCTTGTGGGTCGCCATGCTCGCCGGCGGGAGCGAGGACCGCCAGGCAGCGGCGGAGGAGGTGGTGTTGCTTGCTGCAGCTGTAGCTAGAAGAAGAGACAGGTCACCACGAGGTCAGGTCTTTTATAGCGGAGGTAGGCGTGGGTAGATAGTTGACCTCCGCTCCGTGGGCGGCGCTGGTTGACCTAGACCACGAGGCATACACTGGGGAATTCGCGGGGTCGGCTACTCAGCGACAAACAGCGTTTGTAGGGGAGAAATCCACTACAAGCTTATATCACAGTAAACTGGAAATTCCTCAAAAGTGGTTCAGTCTTGGTCCCAAAGGTACTGGATTTCTGGGTCTATACCTTACTTCTGTTTTTCAATATTGTGCTGGATCCCAGATAATTAATAGTTACCCCTTGAATTCCATGGGTTGTGTATCCCAGGGACCCAACATTTGAATTTTGTAAAGCAAGTATCGCACGTGTTCCTTTTTTATATCTACCTTATGTGCTTATTTTAAACATATATTTTGACTTGCAGGACATTCATTACCAAATTACTTCACATGGCTGATGAGAAAGGGATGAAATTTTCTGAGCCAGTTGCTGCATTTGGTGTACGGACACCCTGTCCTGAGCAAGATTTTACAAGGCTTAAGCAGGAATACTCAAACCTACAATTGGTATTAGTTATCTTAGGAAGAGGAGGTGATCTTTATGGTGAATATGACATAGCATTAATTTCTGGTCTCTATCAAGCAGAGTAGATAATAGATTTTCTTAAAACAATTTTTTTTTATTATATTATGAAAACTTAATTAAATAAAAAAAAGTAAGGTTAAAATGTGCATGTGAACATGAAATAATTATAAAGATATCTTTATTATCACCATCACTGTTTTTCTCAATTGTATGCTATAGCTATGAATATCTGATGGCAGCTCTAAAAGTTACCATACATGGTCACTAGCAGCCTCTCTCATCATTTTTGGTTGACCCCTAGCTGTCTGTTGCTTATCAGACAAAAATTTATGGCACTTAATATATCAAGTAACATTTGGCAAAAACCCTGCAAGATCTAAGTACAGGTACCTGTACTATACAGTATTGATGAATTGTTAATTGAATGCCAATTCCTGATTTATAACTTGCCTATCTCCAGTATACTGTATGCTAGTT